GTCGCCATGGGCTCGCTCACGATGATCGCAAAATCCTTGCGAGTTGGGTCCAGGTAGCTTACGCCCGACATCATACCGCATCGCGAGTTCACAAGGTAGCTGGGAAAAGAATTTTCTGGCTCCTCAATCTAGACTTTGCAATCAATTTCGAGTGGACCTGTATACTCAGTTACAAATCCACCTGCGAGGTCTGCTGCGTGACATCAACTCCTCTCTCTCATTGGGTGGCAAATGGCCAATGAGGCAAAGATCGCGAATCGTGCGGGTCTTCTTGCTGCACTGCGATACTCCCACCTGTTCATATCGCCAATCAGGTGTGCAAAACATGTGAGCGGCCACGCAGTTCTTCACCGGACAAGACGACAAAGGCGCTTCTCGGGAGGTGTAATTTACAGTCGCAAACCCTCACGCATACGTTGTGGCCTGTGAGAGCGTGTTGAAACACCGCAAGTTGATGAATCGCGCATGAGGGTGAGACGCGCCTATCGTCAACGTGTGAATGATGTGATCACTGAGACTGCCGGCTGGCTTGTGGCGATGCGATCAAGTGCTCGACTCAAGCATTATTCAACGTCAAAGCAACTGTGAAACGCGTCGAGCCACTCACACTCAATCAGTGAATTGAGCAAAAGCGAGGTGCACTAACAATCTGCGATTGTATTCAGAGACGGAAGGCGCACGACCGCAGCGGGTATCCATTTGCGCACCACTGCGACGCGACCATCTACCTCGGTCTCGTTGGAGCTGCAGCGTACAGCAATCAAGACGCATTGCGCGCACATCACCGTCTACCGCTGCCTTCAAAGTATGCGAGACGCGCAGACAAGACTAAATGTGCCGTTGCAAGGACCAGATGCTATTTTGGTTTCTGGTGGTCCTGATTGTCGTGGATGTCTTGCTCGTCAAAGACCTGGGGTTGAAGGGCGCCTTCCGCTACCAGCCGATCCAGCTTGGTGGGTGAGCTGTTCGGGCGTTGCATGGCTGCAAGTTGAGATGAGTGGCCGAGGGAGCTTAGCGATCGGCAAGCGCTTCTCTTCCCTTGGCCACGCTCGAGCACGCGTGAGAAATGCTTGCGTATGCTCGTTGGGCAAAGTCGTACGATCACGATGTAGGACGCTCCTTTGCCACTCGCACTCGCATGCTTCTTCGGCTCGACAGGGCTCAACGAGAAATGTCCAAGCGATCGTCAAAAGCCAGCCAGTCAGCCCAAAGGAAGCGAGCGAGCATGAAAGTGAGAACGTTGATGAGACTCGACCGTTACGTGGCGCTACTTCGCACTCGAAAGACGCCTGCCTGGTCGCTGCGCAGAGCTTGGGGCCTCGCCCTGAATTTTGGCGGTCGATGGGTGCGCCCTCTCGGTCGTAGCGTTCGTTGCATAGGGCCACGCTGGCTGTTACCAAGTAGGGTTCATCGTCAACTTCGCGGAGAGACATGTGTCTCTCGTTGATCTGAGTTGCCACGCTGCAGACACAGTCTACTTGTGTCGTTGCAGAGCGCCTCATGCGCATGCTGAGATGCTCCGACGGCTGCGAGAGCTCCACTTGCGACGTAGGCCAACTGTCGCACGGCGTCGCAAGGTCAGCGCATTGCGGCGGGAACGAACGTAGATGATCAAAACATGGCGGAAGGCAAAAGGCGACCGTCGACAGCTACACGGTTCTATGCGACGCGAACCGTAGCTTTGCGTGGCGAGATCGGCATGCTCCCTCGGCAGCGTCCTGGCTGGTCAGGATGCATGGGTTGCGAGTGGACTGCGACGAGAGAGTGAGCGACTGCTACGTGCTGTGAGCAGACGAGTCACACGGTGATCGACGGTCGCACCTTGCAAGCATAAAAAGAGCCATCTTTTCGTGGCTTTTCCCCATCCCGATTCTCTTCTCCTCATCAGATTCCACACACAAGCTTGACCATTGGGACTCGGTCACCCAAAGCAGCTTTGCAAGGCTTGTCTCCATCCGGGTCAAGAGCTTGCTCAAGCCCACGCTCGCACTCGCACTCGCATCCGCACACAGGCACACACAGATACGCACACTAGGTCCAGGCCTCATCTAGCACTAGCAGGCTAGCACAGCACGCTCTCTAGGCAGCAGCGTAAAGAACAATTTCGCAAAGGGCTCCACACCTTGCACCCGCTCCGTGCTCGCACATTTTCTCCTACGGGCAACAACAAGTTCCGGAAACAGCGTTCGCTTTGTATCTCTCGTTTCGCCACTCGACAAAAAAAGGGCCACTAGCTAGCTCTCGCTTTCTCTCTGACTTTTGAACAATTGACATTCTCGGCTCTGAAAAAGACTCAACTTGCAGGAAAGACTCCAAAAGGACGCAGTACATACTTTTGCGTGGAACTCGAATCCAACGACTCCAACTCGACCCTCATCTTTGATCCTTGCAGCCCTGCTCAGCTCGACCAGACGTCAACAATAACAGCGTCGCACAAAATTC